TCCTCTCCTCCGTGCCTTTTTCTCTATTTTTTCTTTCTAATTGGAAGGCTTTGAACGAGGTTTTTCCCAGAAATGGGAAATCTCCGAGTGCCTCATCCCTTTTTTGCCTGTTTTGTACCGCTTTAGGTGGATTTTTCAGAGAATTAGGTGAAAAACCCAATCATTTATTTTATGTCTGGTGCCGGGGTCCGTTTGTGGGTTATTCCCACATTTCAACATGCCTGGAAAATGAAGGGTTTTCCGAAACATAATTCATTTGAGGTGGGCTTCTTTATATAAAGTTGGACCCTGAATTAACGGATTTTTCCTGACCTAACATTTTATTCGTTAAATCGGGATTGTTCATAATGTCGAAATTCAAAGGAAAGGTTTTTGGGAAGGCACGGCAGCGAAGGCTGCAGATTATTACAGCATCTGCAGATTATTTTTCATCCAAGTTTTGTTTTTATTTTCAAAAAAGCAAACGAATGAGTGGGGAGGATTGCCAAATTTCCTTTTTAAAATATCTCTTAACTTGCTTCTAATAAAAATTTAAAAGCTGAAATGAATTGAGAGAACATAGCAAAGAACAAAAAGTAAGGATTTTATATTTTTTTCTGTTACTTGACTATAGATTTGAGTCAATCATGATTTATTCAACCTAGTTAATGTCATTGTATAAAAATTCAACTTAAATTCAAACATGAATTTTTTAAAAAAAAAAATATTTTTTAAGGACCTTATATTTGTACATTTTGCTACTTGTATGTTGATTAAGCTGAAGTTATACAACGATTTCTGACTGCGTTGGATTTATGAGAAAAATCTGCAGATTCACTCCGTAAATTCTGCTCCCTGGTTTCTACATTTACTTAACAACCCCAGTAAGCAACTATATAAAAATATCCATAACTTTAAATACCGTGGAACTCGCTTATGACGAACATGGATTTAACGAAGAAATCGGAAATGCTCGCGGAACTCGCTTTTAACGAGCAAACCCCGGTTTGAGCGAGCGTTTACTATTTATTTAATTTATAATCAATTTTACCTCCGACTCATCTACCCCCTTGTATATCTTTTTTATGTTTTTTGGGTAGACCAATCCCATTTCTAATATTTTTCGGGGTGACAAATTCCTTTTTGATGTCAGCGAAGTTTTTCGAGGAACAATAATACAAATTAAATTCAAAGCAAATTAACTAACTTCGTTCGTACTGCATATAATTAAAAAATATAAATACTTATATGTTTTTTCACGAACCCGTTTTTTTATGAATACTCAGTCGTAACGAGCTAATTTTTCGGTCCCTACGTGTTCGTTAGAAGCTAGTTCGAATGTAATGCACTTTTTATACTGCTGCGGATTTTTAATGTATCAAGTTCGTTAAATTTGTGTTTGGAAAATTCCACTTTTTGAGAGCATTTTTCTGTGATCCTAAGACTGCCACGGTGAAAGAAAGAGAACCCAAAAAATTGGTTTTTGTATCCTTTTTTTTTATATATATGTAGGATAAAGGGGGTGAAGCGAGGGTTTCTCAAAAATAAAGAAGCTGTGCTAAACTTAATAAAAATATATATTAACAATAATAGGCAAGTAAGCTACAATTTCCACTGGCATCCTCCTCGAGCCAGTCATTCTAACAATAATGGTGTACTTGTAAAAGAACAAAAAAATGTAGACGTATGTCTATTAATGTCCTTGGTTTCAATCACGTGATAGGATGAATGCTTCGTAGATTGGATCTGTATTCCACATATATATTTTTGCTCAACGATGCTTGCTATAATCTTTTTTCATAAGAAATTTTCTGTTATTAATTTTTACACATTGAATAATAACAAGCTGCTAATTGAAGGGGAAAACGCGTTTGCATCTCAGGAAAAGGATGTTTTTTTTTTATTTTATTTTTATTTATTTATTTTTTTTTAGTTAGAGAAGAGATAGGGCATTGATTAATGAATTAAGGAATTTTTCTCTTCTGTATCTTCATAAGTCTAGTTTATTTCTCTTTAAATGGGGATTATTGAATGATTTTCATGAATTTTTCATTTGGATTTATTTCTAATCTTATTATTACTGTTGATAACTTAATAAGAAATAAAACAGTATACTTGCTATAAACGATATTCGACTGGGGAATGCGTTTTGATATTTTATAGATTTTTTTTCAATTGACCAATTTAATAACTGTTGAAAAATTTTTGAATTTGCGTAGTGCACAATTTTTTTCATTTTCTTGAAACTGTTTCATTGTAAAATACAAAATTTTAACGAAATGGATGTAATATTTAGGAATTAGGTTTCATTATTTTTTTAATGATAAGTAGCAGATTTCGTTCAAATCTTCGATTTTGATTTAATTTTTTAAAAAATTAAAAAAAAATTTTTAAAAAAAGATGCGAAAAATTGTGCTACATTCATATCTGCCCACCATTTCAGTTTCTTCGGAAGATTTTATTCTTATTTTAACAAATTCGATTTAAATCGATTTTCAACTTCCACTATATTTAAATAGTTTAAGCATACACAGATAAGAGTAATTTTATTGTCCTTTAAGTGATGTCAAAAAGTGAATTAAATATTCGCCTATAATTATCACTTCTCTAGTTATTTCAATTATCACTAGTTATTTCAATATCCAAATGTTAAAAAAAGTTGGCTGATATAGATTACCTTACAATTTAAAAAGTAATAATATAGTAAGTAAGACTAGAGTTTAGGAACTTTCCGAACGCCCGCCTAACTGAATTGGCTGGTGGTCAATCCCTCTTACCATACTATTTTGTGGATAATCTAATAAAGGAAGGTGTGTTTGGAGAAAGTTATTTTAGAGTAGTTACACGCCTAATCTGGATTAGAAAACCACGCGCAAACTTGTCGCAATGAAGTCCTGAAAGTGTAACCGAAAAAACCACGTGCATTTAGGATTCGATTAAACCGTTACGTAATCCATAATTGTGTAGATTGCTATAATATTAGCGAAGTGAGAGCATGTATATTAAACAATATTCCTAATATTAAACAACAATAGTGATGATAAAAAGCATGGCTCTATGAATGGTGATTCTTGTGAAGTTACATCACATTAGGCTGTTGAAAATTTTATTAGCCGATAAAAATATTGAAAGAATTTAGAGAGCTGAAATTTAATTAAGATGAAATGTTTTAAAATTTTATAATGATATAAAGGTTGGCAAATGTTAATTTAAATAACTCAAATTTAGCAAATACTTTGACTTTTTAGTCTTAAAATCATGATCGAATTAATAGAAAGATTACTAAAAATGAGTTCTTTATTATTTCTCTTATTTATATGCTTCAAAATATTATTTGTGTCTTCAAATTTTTTAGACCTCACTAGTGGTTGAAAAGATGGCATATTTTGAAATGTAGTCTGACTGTTACTTCAGACAATTCTCAAAAGACAATACTTCAGCCTCGATTTATTTTAAGATATACCCTTTAAAACTTTTTCTTTTAACTTTTTTCTTTAAACTGAGAATTATGATATTGTAGTCTTTTTATTTTTTTAATGACTTTGATATTTTACATAAACATTTTATCATTCTGAAAATAGTCTAACTAACGAACAAAAAGTGAAATACTTATTTTATTTTTTTGTCTTACCCTTAATTTCTTTTTAAACTTTATTCCTATGCTTTTTTTTCTCTCTCTTTTTTCTTTTCATTGTAATATTTTGCTACCTCGTGTAAGAATATTATCTGAGTGGCTATTGAATTCTATTACAAATATTTAACTAACATTATTCTTCAACTAATAACAGAAAACTTTGAAATTTCGGTTTAATGTTTTATATAGTTAACATGTATATAACATTACTCTTACTATCATCTATGCTTACTGTTTTGACTATTTATAGTCAAAATAGCTTATCTATATCAAAATAGTCTTGCATTCCATTAGTTGGCTGCCATCACAAACGCCTCAGTTTGCTGTATGTTTCATTTCCTTTTTAGTTCAACAAATTTAAGTGAAGTCAAACTTCTGTGCTGCCTAGCATTTACTTAAGGTTAAGGAGCAGGTTTAGGTGTGGGAAAGAAGGTGGCCATTTAAAGAAATTTTTCTGTTTCAATATCAAAGGCACACAGTTATCAGGATGAAATGTTTTGTAGCTGATTTTGTAAAAACACAAAAATGTGCTTTTAATATATAGTAATGCTTTTGAAAAAGCTTTTTATAAAATGGTAGTCTGTACTTTGAATCATGAAATACCAGCTTTCATTAACCACTGTAACTTCTAATTTTATTATTAGAGATTGTTTCTGCTGAAAACTAAATGGTTATTTTATTATTTATTTCAGTTATGGCAAACATTAATTGAAGTAAAACTTTTTGTGATATGTTGGTTAATTATTAATTATGCACAAATTAGATTTTATTAATATGTTAAACAAAATTTTATGAAACATTTAATACATTAAATAATATAGATAAAATATATATTTGAAAGACTACTACAAAACTAAAAATGATTCCAAATAACTACAATTATGTTTACAAATCACTCATTTTGCTTAGTTATTAAAACAAACATTAAAAAGTTTTTAAAGATGAAATTGAATAGGTAAATAATGAAGCGGCTATGTTTAATGCTTCGTTTCAAAGTTGAGGTGGCTTTTTGCTTAAATAAGTACAAAGATGAATATGGTTATGATGTTCACAAGGAACTTAAAATCTGTAATTTATCTAGGAAGGAGGTTGTGATAAAATAAATTAAATGAATAATATTTTTTAATTGATTTATAGTTTTCTGAAAAAGATAAAGAAAGTTTGATTCATTAAAAATTATCTAACGGATAGGAAGAAAAAGCTGCTTTACCATTCTTTAAGTTTTAGCCATAAATGAATATAGTTTTAGATAAAAGCTTTTAAAAGCAATAGCGTGTAATTATTAAGTGTGTGTGTGTATTCTGTAATTAGGGCAAAGTTATATTATGAACCTCTTATTTTCTTTGCTGAGATAATGCATTGGTTTAATAACAAGTCTTTCTTCTAGAAGGGCCAAATTCCAAGTCAGCCATGTACGGCCAGCTGGTGACCCAAGACCAACTTGCTGGAATGGGTCCTCAAGATCCAGATGCCGATTTGGTTGTCTTGGAGTCGAGGATACCTGGGAAGATCAGGGAGCCCTGCCATGCACCCCTCAGACGGCTGAGTGTGGATCTCATTAAGACCTACAAACACATCAATGAGGTTCGTATTATACATCGCATGGAGGTTTGTATTCAAGTTTAAACCACATTTTGTCTTTGATTTGTTTATTTTAACTTGTTTTTCTGTACTTAATATAGTGGAACATCACAAACCTTATTCTTACAAAATTCTCCAAAATAATAAAATCTTGTAAGAGTGTTAAACTTCTGTAAAAGAAATTATTTTATAGTTAAATTTAGTTAAGTTTTTGAAAAATTTGTTATGGAAATGCTCTGTATATGATTTTTAATGATGGCTCTTGACAAAGCAAAATATTTGATTTGTCTATCATTCTTTCTGAACAAACATAACCTCAGCAATTTCATAAGAGTAAAATAACTAGAGAAATAAAAAATTGTCTTATTTTTTAAAATGATTATATAAGGGTGATGTTTTTTTTGATTGTTTAAATAAGTGTTACTTGTACTTTGCATTATTTGAGAAATAATCTCTGGAAAGAAAATGATTTCTGATTTTATTTATCAATAAAGGCAAGGTCTTTTAGTTTCCTTTCTGTACTTTTTTGGTTGAGGGAAAAGAAATTCTTATTTTTTTTTGTTTTTACACCAAACAAATATTATCTAATTAGTTAGATTAAAAACATGTTAGCTTAAGTTTTTTGTCTTAAATTTAAAGTAGCAGTATCCGCCATCATTTGTCCAGTTGGAACCATAAAAATATGACGAAATTTTTATGTTTATATGAAAAGGAGAATTTGTCTAATCCTATTTTGCTTTAATCAAAAAAATCAATTTTTTTTCTCGTTTCAGTTTAACAGTCTGTGCTGAAAGGCACCTTTTCTATTTTGTCTATACGGGAGTTTTAGCATTAAACCACATTGCACTGATAAAATAGGATAATGAGATGACGGAACTCTTATATCGTTGTCAATGTTTCTGCAGACTCTTTTAATTTCTTCGCTGTTTGCTTTAGCCAGAAATTTTTTTTATCACTGATTGCTGTGTATTGTGATTTTTTGAAACAGAACCAGTATTAAAATTTTCTGGAAATTTTGCAGAAGTGGAAGAAAATAAAAAGATTTTTTTAACAATTTTTCTAAACAAACTATTAGCAAACATACTATTTATAAACAAACTATTTACAAATATATGGTAGTGGTGTCATCTATGTTTATTAAATGAAGATAACTCTTAGAGTTAAAATGCTGAACAATGAAGTTTATTCATGATAATTCTTATCATAGGATATAAATGTAAAAACTTGTAAACAATATATTTTGATAACATGTTATGTGTTTTTATAACTTCTCAAAAATTTTGGCTAATGAAATAATTAGTTTTATTAAAATAATGTATGAAAAATTATATGGGTACAATTTTATGTAATATGTGAAAGATCTTCCGACAAGTTTTTCTGATAAACTACTATATCGCGACATCAGTATCAACACAAATGCTATGATATTGGTAGGAAGGCACACATGCAGGGGTGATTGTGTTCCGTAAAAAATCTGGATATCCAGATTTTTCTCTAACCGCGATCTGAAAGTTTCCGGAAATCCAAAGTCCAGAATTTTCAAGAAATCATCTTTCACATTTATATATAAACATTTTTTTATATTTCATTTAAAGATATTAGAACTAGAATTCATACTTGGCATCTCTTTCATTTGTAAATATTTTTTCTGGTAGAATAATAAATGTGATTAGAGATAAAAGTAAACTTACAGATAATTATTCATTTAAATTATGCTGTATATAATTCATTTAGAATATCATGTTTTGAAATTTTCAGTGATTTAAATTTATAAAGATATTAATTTTTTGAATGATTTTACTCAAGAAATTTTCAGGATTTTTGAGTTGGGCCCACAATCATCCCTGCACATGTAACTGCTATACGTTTTATTAGATGTGGTATTGTCAGATGGCAGCGGGGTCCTTTGCAACATCATATTGTGAAAAGCACTAATGCTTCTGCAATGTTTTTTACTAGTTCTCGTATCATGAGGCAACAATCAGGTCTGTTTTGGCAGTATTCTGTCACGTAATGAAAGCACAGGATTAATCTTGACTTTATTACAACATGAAACACATTTCTCTTTATGTTACTTATTGAGAATGAACTTCATTTTACCTGACTTTATGATGTTTGGATGATTAAATTATATTAAAACCTTATTATTAGATTTTCTTTTTCTTTTTGAATAATTTTTTTAAAATGATTTTATGAATTAAAGTAAAAGTGTGTATGTCAGAGGGGTTGAATATGTGATCTATAATTAACCTTGAACAGGCACTACTATTAAACAAAATATTGCACAGAAGAAATTCATTTGATGCACTATTTCATTGCTAGATAATAAGATAGAATTATTTTTAAAACTGTCTTGCTGACTTCAAGTATAAATTGCATAAAAAAGGTCGATTGAAATTAAACTGGCTTAGACAGTTTCAAATTCCTCTAAAAATAACTTATTATTATTAAAAATAAAAAAAACGGTGATTAAAAATAATTTCTTTTCTAACTTCGACGAAAAATAAATAAGATATCTTTAAATTTCGTTGTTTATAAATATTTCAACAGTAAATAAAATTTTTGTGACACATATTTTTCTACTATTCTTGAATAAATTATCACATAGATTGTTCAATTGAATAAAGTATCACTGTATAGTCCAATAACTGTGATTTAGTATTCATAAATGCTTATATATCTTGCAAGCGGCAAACTCATCCTTTTCTTTATTCTTCATTGAATTGAAGAGATAAAAAAATGTATTTTCACATCTCCAAAATAAAAAACTTTCTAGCAAATTATATCCATAAAAAAAATTTAATCAATGAACAAAACTTATTACTAATTATTTATTTTGGATGTTATTTGACACAAAAATTTTCAGTGTAACTGTTTGAAATAAGATTTGTTCCTAATATTGTAAAAGTAGCTGATTTGCCAATCTGGAAAGATCAGGTAGATGTCTAGAAATTTAATTAAAATATCCCAAAAGACTGAAGAAATGAATTTGAGTTTAAATACCTTAAGTCTAATATTTTTTCTTTAAGAAAAATAAAAAAACAAAGAAATATCAGACTTGAACATATTTGACATTTTTTAGTAAGTTTTATTTTCTTTAAACAATGTGTCTTATATATAAGAAAAAGGCATAGTGACTGAAAGTTTTGTTATAAAATTAATACCATCGACTCCAAAAATCGGAAAAATCATGGCTGGTGTGACGGGTATTGTTTTTAATTAAAGAATCCAAATTAAAAGTTATAATTATATTTTATTTATTACTTAATCATTATACTATTATATAAGGAGGAGGAGGACCACACTTACCCATAGCTGCTAGTATTGAGAGTCTCGCTTGCAATCGGACTGAGTTCTCTGAATTCTCCCTATTTCCTCTTTTTATGGAGTTTTTTTATACATTTTATTTCAAGGGGTCGAGTGTGATCTTGTGGTCTTATCATGCATCCGAAGGTCGACAAATCAAACATAATCTTGTGACAAATTTCTAGAAAGTTCAAAGTTCAAATGACCATTGTAATTTGATTGCGAGATGAGACCACGAGATCTTCATCAACTGTTTAATTAACAAAAGATTTACAAGTTTGACCATGAGAATTGTCACAAGGCAATATCGTGACACTAGAAATTTGGAAAAAATATTTTCCATCTGTGTGGTTGTTACTACCTTGCGTCTCTAAATACATAAAAAAAAAATTTCCTCATCTTTATTGTGAATGATTTTGCTAATATTTTTCATTTCACCTGACCAATAGGTATACTATGCAAAGAAGAAACGTAGGGCTCAGCAGTCTCAAAGGGAAGATTCCACCAATAAGAAAGAAAAGAAAGTGTACAATGATGGCTATGATGATGAAAATCATGATTACATTGTGCGCAATGGAGAACTCATAGAACGTTATGAAATAGATTGCCTGATAGGAAAGGGATCATTTGGACAGGTTGTTATACTTCATATTTCTCTTCTCCCATCAATTATGTTTTTGTTATTTTGTATTTTGCTTGTATTGAGGAATGTGTACTGAAAAATGAACGCATTCCTCTGTTCTTAACAAAAATCTTTTGCAATTTATGTATGTGTTCTTATAATTAGAATCTAATTATGTTTTAATAAAATGTTTTATTTTGGTTATCAATTTTTAAAAACTTACTTAACCCACTGGTTAAGGAAATGGGCAAAATTGGGAGAATGTTTCTCCCCTACACACAGTTCCCCTATCAGTTAACATGGGAAAACTGGTTTTGCTATGCAGAGAAGACTGCAGGTTAAAATGCGACTTTTTATGTGCAGAACCGTCAGTAGGTTAAAAGGAATGTTTATTACTGAAAGTACATTCTGGAAAAGTCCACATCTTTTTTGAAAACCTAACTAATATATGTATAATTTTTCTTTATACACATGATTTTTTAAAAAAAAACTTGCTGTTGTACTACTCTTTCATTTAAAATGCCAGAAAGTATGTGATAATGGTCTTCTGATGTTTTTTTTAAAAAATGCATTGTGAGCTATGTCCATTTTCTTAAACAGCTTTTTTTAGTTGTGTCCAGAATAAAAAAAAAATAAAAAAAACTCACTGATAATATGCTTTGGGTATTAGCAAAATGATAAATGTTTATTTCACCTATTGTAACTCCTTAAATTTCTATTGCCAGGTTGTGAAAGCTTTTGACCATGAGGAGCAGTGTCATGTAGCAATTAAAATCATCAAAAATAAAAAGCCATTTCTTAATCAAGCTCAAATAGAAGTAAAACTCCTAGAACTGATGAACAATGAAGAAGTTTCAGATACGTTCTATCAACTGGGGAAAGAAAAGATTGGTAAATCTAAAAAAAATTATTATTATTATTATTTTTTTTTTTAAAAAACTTGTGCATCAATTTTTATAGACTCTTATACATATAATATATATTCTTCATCATAAAAATATTTATAAAAAATTACTTTAAGTTTTTATTTTTCATTATTAGTTTTTTTTTCCATCACATATTTCGGTTCTATAATTGTATTATTTTTGTAGTCCCGTCGAACAATTATTATCTTGGTATAATTATTATCTTGGTATAAAAATGTTGATAATCTCAAGGTTCAAAAATTCTTTAATAGTACTTGTATTTTTCCCCTCTTAAGTGAAGTAAGAACTTTGCTTCTTTTTGTCTCACCTATCATTTTATAGTTCTTTGAGCTATATCTAAACTTCCCCTGGAAGCAGGTTCATAGTTTAATAAAGCACAGATTATTTAAAAAAAAAAAACAACAACGCAACAACACACTAAGTTGGATTTAATGGCTTTTTGACCTGTAAAAACTTCTTAAATAAAACTTCAAGCCAATCCTATAAGAACTATTGAGGTTTATTGATTCTTTTAAACTTGTTCATGAGAGTGAACATTCATTCATTTTATTTTTGTAAAGTTGTAAGTTTTTTAAATTTAAATATGGTTTTTTTGTTAAATATTCTTTTAAGCCTGCAAGTCCTAAAAATTGTGCTCAAACACTATTAATATTCATAGTTTATTCTTCTCTACCAAATTTGTTTTTATTTTTTGTAACTTCTTTCATCTTTTCAACAACTTTTTTAGTGTGCTTATTGAATTATTGTTTAGCCATCAAAAAAGCAGCATGAGAAAAAAAAAAGAAGAAAATTATGAATATCTTGTAACAAATATTAAAAAAAAAAAATCTTTTAAAAAGGACCAGAGATCTGTTTTATCTGATGGCAAAAATGTGTCTGGAAAATAGACATTCCGTTAAACGAATGTCCGTATACAGGATTTTGTACTGCATTCAGTTTTAAGAAATGGTTCATAAGTTTTTGTTGCGTTTTGTACTGAAAAAAATTCTTTTTTGTTAACAAATACATGGTTTACAAATCATTAATAGGCAGTTGAAAGTATCGCAAGTTTGAGAGGAAAATAGTTGACTCAGATACACCTAGAAATAATGTTCATGCTGGAAACTAATCGCCGTTTTTCAGAAGTAGCTGATCTGTGGTCGCCTGTAACATAAATTTTATGTAAAATGTTTGGTCATGTGGCTTTTCTTTAGAACTTGCTGTTTAAAGGTGGTCATTGAAGAGTGTTTGATTATATATCGAGCAACTAGCAAATATTAGGTTTGAGGACTTAAAAAAAAAAAAATCTGTTTTAGTATTATTTTAATTGGATGATTTAAAATTCATTGAAGCAATGTTGAACTTGGTGATTCTGCAGGAGAAACTACGTTTTAGATGATCCAAATTTCTGGAACTCCCTATGTTCTAAGGTTTTTTTCTTATTACTAAAAGTGGGAATTTATTTAAACTAGTATAATCTTTTAGAACATTTTAAATTTTCACAATTTATGACATTCTACATAAAATAAAACATATTAGCAAGTAATGTTTAAAATTTTTTTTTGAAAAAGTAGCGAAAGAGATAGTCTTCTAGATAAAAAAATAAATATATATATATTGATTTGTGATATTAAGCAGATAATAGATTCTCTGCCTCTTTACCAATCTGTAAATATGCACCTATGTTTATGCATTGGTATAAGAGAATATTAACTAATTCATACCAATTGTTTCTTTTAATGTTTTTTGTTTCATGCACCTTTTTTGGAATGTTATACTTAATGAGAGTTCTTTTTGCAGTGACGCTGAAGAGGCATTTTATGTGGAAGAACCACCTGTGTTTAGTGTTCGAACTATTGTCTCACAACCTGTACGACCTTCTAAGAAACACCAAGTTTCGAGGTGTTTCTTTGAACCTGACTAGAAAATTTGCTCAGCAGATGTGCACGGCACTCTTGTTCCTCTCTCACCCTGATCTCAAAATAATCCATTGTGATCTCAAACCAGAAAACATCCTACTCTGCAACCCAAAGAGATCTGCAATCAAAGTAGTCGACTTTGGAAGCTCTTGCCAACTCGGGCAGAGGGTATGTACGACTTCATGACAACCTCCTTTTCATATCCTTTCTTTGAATCATTCATTCCTTTGAACGTTATTGTGATTAATTTTAATCAGAATTATGTAATATAAAAGTGTCTATAGTTATATTTGTTTAAACTATATCTATATCTTTAATTTTTATTTGATCTTCACTAACAAAAAAATGTTTTGTGTTAACTTTAATTAGTTTTTTGTTTCATATACCTTTTTTGTATTGTCATATTTAACGAGTGACACTAAAGAGGCATTTTATGTGCAAGAACATCTTTATTTTTTATTTGATTCTAATAACAAAATGTGGTTTTTCTGATTAATATTATAATTTTTGGAGAATCATTTAAAAAAAATCATTGTAATAATATCTTTGGCTGAATTAAGTTTATATGAGTCTTATTTTTATGTAAAAAAACTACATTATTTAATTTATTTAACATTGTTGATAATCTTTGGAATTTTAAGTTTTCCCCTAATAAGTCCTGGATTTTTTTTCCACTTTTGTGTATGAACCTAAAGCAGCAAAAGAAAAAAAAGTATTTTTCGAAAAAAAAAATGCTATTTGTGTGTATTAGTCAATGTTTATTACAATGTTACTAAAATTCAATTTTTTTTCAAATTAAATTTTTTCATCCAACATTAAATATTTGTTCACAACCATTTTGTTGCCATTAGGAAAAAAAATTTGGTTATTGTTATCATAACATATGAAATGTATAAACCAATAGATTCATGAGACCCATCTAAAACTTTTTTTTGTCACATGAACTTGCCTTAGTGGAAAAATTTTTGTAATGACGAAATTTCCTCAATATGCATTCCAAGGTAAAATTAGCAATCTGTACTCGGACTAAATATAAGAAAATGGGTATTAAAAAATATTTAATTGCTACTTTCTTTGCCAGAAATATACCCCTTGTTCTCAAAACATGTGCTTTCACTTTCTGGTTTTTATTTATTACGCAAAAAAGTTGTAATCATCCCAGGAATATTCAAGTTATTTTACAGTCATTCAAAATTTCAGGTTGATTAAATTCGGTTATGAAGCATTTAATTTGAGTTCAAACTAATTTTATATTACTTTTTCTTTATGATTATGGCCGATAATATTTAAGTGTAATCGAATATAATTTCATTATTTCAATTACATCTACAGTCAAACCTCGTTAATTCGACACTCTCGGGACCTCTGAAAAACTGACGAATTAAGCGGAGTGACGAATAAACCGGAGTTGCATTGTTTTTCAAAAAATTTGAAAAATACCCATAAATTAACAATTATTACATACAGCAGTGAAATTTCAATTTCTTAAAATAAAAAGAAAACGTTGAAGAATTTGCATTAAAACAATTCAATTAAAACATAGCATCAGTAGAAAGACAAACAGTATGGTTTACATAACTTACTTTTATTTATTTAGGAATGAAAAAACCATCAATACGGGTTTGTTTGGTATGGGGATTACTTAGCATAATTCTTTTTTCGAGCTTGTACACAGAGTTCAAATCTTCCTCAGTGCCAGATATTGAAGAAAAATATTTTCTTAGAACTTCAATGCACTGAAGAGCTTCATTTTTGGAAGGAGGAACTTCCACCTCATCCTCGCTTTCACTCTCTTCAGATGCTGGAACATATCTTTCGCGGATTTCGTTCGCGATTTCCGAGACGGTTAGTTCTGGAGATGTCACGAGATTTTGGTCAATTCCAAGATATGTTTCTTCATCCATCACATCTTTGTTGCGTTCTTTCAGTTGCCTGAGCAATTCAGATAAAGGGACGTTATCATCTTCATCATCATTAACATCTTCTGACGAGCTTGGACTTTCAACAAATCCAGCATGCCTGAAGCAGTTTTTGATGGTTTTATCGGTCACATCAGCCCAACTCCTGTGGATGTAATTAATGCCATCTAAGAGATTTAGTTTCCATTCTCTGCCTTCATCAATGGCTTTAATCCAGTCTCTTACAAGATGTTTCCGATAGTGTCTCTTGAAGCTGGAAATGATTCCTTGATCAAGGGGCTGTAAAACTGAAGTGGCATTGGGCGGCATGTAAACTAACTCCACTGATTGAAGGTTTCTTACCTCAG